ATTAAAAAAAAACAAGGGGTGGCATCTTGCAGTTACATTTTCTTTTTCGTCAGATGATTTTATATTTTCCAAACAATGACTGATTTAGTATGTATTATTAATAGTAATGGTAATGGTGCAAAAGACCATGCCTTACTCTATAATTTAGTATTTATTATTTTCAATTGTATATAGAAATTGATAAATTCAACGTTATAATCTGATTTACGGCAAACTGTATGGTTCGCCTCAAAACGTTTTATGGTCTTCAGCCGATATATTATAATGAGAATGTGCACTTTTAACTATTTTAAGAATAAAATCAATGTTGTACCCTTCTGAATTTATTTTATATAAAAACGCCAACAATGTTTTAGACACAATATAATGTTCTGTTGTTAATGTTTTCGTCGAATTTGCTTGTAAACAAAGCGCATACTGATAGTGGAAATAAGAGGCTATAAGTGCTTCTGGGTGTAGCAAGATGGCGGACGGTGGCTTCAAGCTACGTCATTTTGTTGATTGCGTCATGAGCTATCCAGTTATTATATAGGTCAGTGGTTGGGACCCATTTGTGTCCATTTCTAGGTGCCAAAGAATAGAGATTTGGCTCCTTTAAATTAAGAATTTTCGAAGATTTATCGGTTTGTATTAAAATTCCGTATCACATGATGAATTCGTTTATTGTTATCAAACCAATGAGCCACGGTGGCTCAATGAGGTTTACCCGTTGTGCAGTACCGAGAGCATGGCTAGGAACAGTGGCTTGTCGTTCGGAAAGGACAAAAAACGAGGCCTTAAAAAGCTTGACACCTTGTTTTTCTTAAAAAAAAAACCCAAAAAACTAAAGTGTGTCGTCTACATGCAACTAGGTTGGTTTCTATGGAGAGATGACATGAACTAACCGATATAGGAGTAGTATGTACTAGTAATGTATTTTTAAAGATTATGATCATCAGAATGTTAAAAACAATTGTTATAGGTCAAGAAATGTCATGGATTTAACATTGAAGTTAATGTGAAGAACATTACTTGTCGGAGACCATATTCCAATTTGGAGGCAGATCACCGTCTCGGTACCCATTGTAGTTCGTCTATTTATAGCAATTCTCTCTCTGTCACTTTTCTCCCCTTTTGCATGCCCATTTTTGTTGATTGTTTGGTCTAGAATGGACGAAGAGGGTTTGAATTAACATTTTCTGCCAGGTTTTGGTAAATATTCATGATTTTGAGGCGGAAGGATAACGAGGTTATCAGGTTGGCTATACGGTGATATGTATGGAACTAGTTACAAGGTTTTAATATGCTTCTTCAGGTTTGTGTATCTCAAAATTTTGGTGGTCAACCTCATACACAGTTTAGTGCAAAGACATGACCATGCGTTCCTCTGTCTGTAGTGAAAAGCATTCAGCCCAACGAAAATTTGGGGAAAAGCTGGAGGTGGGCAAAGAGGCCAGAATTAACATTGAAATCAATGGGGAAATTAATGGTGGTCTGCCTCCATTTACAAAAACAGAGTTACGTCCCTTGAAATAAAGCTTATTTTGCGAACTTGTCCCGGTCGTCGAAATACTCAAGAAGCTAAACATCTTGCACACAAGAGAATTCATAAATGTATTTAGAATTGATTACTTAATATTCGTGGATGTTTCGTAACCACCAAAAGAGATTCTTAGTCATGCATATATTCGAAAATATCTCATGATAACCCTACTAGTATTTCATATAAATGGTCGTCTTTCATGGCATAAGCGGAACCATCGATCGATGATCAAAGTCATACGGAAAAGGTCCGTTTAACATCGTCGTCTTTTTACCGCCTTTTTTGCTACTTTTAGACCCTGAAATGTTGTGCCATAGCTTCTTTTATGAATCTATGTGTATCATAGAACACGAAGGTGTATATTTGATGTGATTTTAACCACGATAAAGACTGAAATTTTTATGAGTTTTTCTCGGAATTTTTATATTTTTGCTGGCTGTCTGCATGCTTGTTGATCTTCAACCTAAATTTTTTTGAGGTGGTACCTTGCAAATCATACTTACGCGGCGCAAAAATCTGCCAAACTGCTACTCATATCTACGCGGCGCGAAAATCTGCCAAACTCTAAAACTACATTGACGCAACGTATCACGTGACGATACGGATAAGTGATATGGAAGGGAAAAATTACCCTTGTCAAATGTCTCTATTGACTCTTGCATGTGAGCGTGAGCTGACGGACACGATCGAACTTGACAAAATCTCCGATCCGTGGTCAAACTTGACTAAGGGGTTAGGTAATGTATTTACTACAATATAATCGAAGATATATACTCAGCCAAATTAAAAACTTGACACTGATGAATTTCAACAAATTTTTTTTTCCGGTAAGTCAAATAAATTTTAAAGTGTTTCTAACGATAGTAAGTAGTAAGAAGCCTTTAATTTCATAAAATTGTAAAGTCACGTGGATCACGTGACTTTTGAGCATATAAAGATGAAAAACCTGAAAAACACGTGCAAACACAAACTCGTGAGGTCAATCGATGCAAGTTTGCTTAAACTGAACACGCACACGTAACTTGAACTGGAAAAACAAATTAAAATTGTTATTTTCATCTTTGTTAGAAAATGCCGAGCCTTTCAAATGTATAGAACGTCTACGTGCTATGTGCTATATGGTCACTGTTGCAAGAGCCTTTAATTGTTCACGCCAGACAATAATTAATCTTAGAATGAGAGTGCTTCAAACTGGAACTATTGCCGACCGCCCAAAGGCGGGAGCGCCACGTGTGACGTCACTCCAGGAAGATCAAGCAATACGATTACTTCATCTTAGAAACAGATTTGTCACTGCAACCTCCACAAGTAGAGAGATGTTTGGTGGAAGGGTAACTGCACAAACTGTTCGAAATCGCTTGCAGGCTGCTGGTCTTCGAGCTCGGAGGCCCTATAATGGACAAATTGACACCTCTTCATCGCCGTAACCGACGTGTGTGGGCCACAAGACACATGAGATTTACTCAAAGACAGTGGAATTCGGTTGTCTTTAGTGACGAATCTCGATTCACTTTGAGATTTGCCGATGGCAGGGCCCGAGTGTACCGCAGACGAGGTGAACGTTACGCTCAAGTATGCGTCAGAGAAGTTGACCGATTTGGTGGCGGCAACGTCATGGTTTGGGGTTCTTTTTGTGCATATGGACGTTTTCCTCTTGTTGTTGTCCAAGGGAACTTAAATGCTGTCCAGTACAGGGATCAGATTTTGCAACCTGTCCTTCTTCCGTTTATGCAGAGACATGGGCCTGGACTAACGTTTCAACAAGACAATGCTCGACCACATACAGCAATTGCTACCCAGATTTTTTTAAGAAATGCCGGTGTCCAAGTCCTGGATTGGCCGTCGCTTAGCCCCGACCTTAATCCTGTTGAACACATCTGGGATGAACTGGGTCGACGTGTTCGTCAGCAAGTGAATCCACCACTGACGTTGCAGGACCTTCAACATGCTCTTGCTGAGCAGTGGCGACGTCTTCCTCGGGTAGTGTTTACTAATGTTCTGAGATCCATGAGAAGACGTTGTGTGGCAGTACGAGACGCTACAGGAGGCCACAACCGTTACTAAACACTTTATTCCGATTGTTCTCAAAGTCTGTGAATTTCATTTTGGGGGGTACTGTGACATCACGAACGTTACCAATGTCAAGGACTTTCGGCGAGACGTATTCTTGCTTTCTGTTGATGTCAAGGTCGTCTGTGCACAACATAACACTAAAATAGTTGCCTTAAACCAAATATTAAAAATCTAGTCCCAAAAATCCCGAGTGTCAAGTTTTTAATTTGGCTTAGTATAGATCCGTGTAAATGATCTAATTATTATCATGTTCATAAGCTGTCACAGATTCACGGTACTTTGTACGTTCTTGCAAAATTCTTAATAAATAACATGAAATCCCACGCGTAGCACTCAATTTTACTCATGCTATAAATGTTTTCTGACCATCAGAATTCTGTAAAAACTTCCCCCAAAGTCTAGGAAATGGCATTTCAGGGAAATTAAATTCAAGAATTTCCCCAGGGAGCATGCACCCGACCCTCCAAGAAAGCTCGCACCAGCGGTGCTCAACACGTGGCTGCGAGACCGTACTAGGGGTCTGTCAATCAGTCGGTCTCATTTTTGCCAAATACTCTCAAAACAAAATCGATATATACGCCCATGGTAAACAAACGATAGATGATGAACAAACATGTTTATTTTTTTGCTAAAGTGTTGTTGACTGTTTATTATCAAGACACATAATACTGGTCCGTTTATAAAAGACAAACCAACATGTTTGTTAGCGCTTATTGTTTAGCTAAACGTTGTTTACTGTTTTTATCGCCGCACATGATGCTGAATAGTCCTATAATCGGATGCGGTAAATTACTGTGTGGGCAAACGAGAAAAGAATAAACACATGTTTGTTTAGATTAAATGTTGCTTACTGTTTTATATCACCGCACACTGATACCGAAAACAGCAGCTACCCCATTTTGTTTTCTATTTATTTTAATCAACGTGTGCCCATCTTTAAAATGTGTCCCGTTTACGCCATGAATAAACCATTATGGGTTTGGTGTTTTGTTGCGTGGATTTGAAATAAAATTAAACGTGCATTATGCAAGAGCTAAATCTGCCTGTTGCAGGTCTTTCTTTAGACCTGAAATGTTACCTAAATTATTAATAAGGCATTAATTAACTGATCCAGGCCATAATCAACTTTCGATGCCATCGTTAGCCTGCGATTTGTAATGGATTTGAATACATTTTGTGATGGATAATTTGACGTAAAAATGGATAATTGAGACTTTGTTAATTATATGATCGTGTCTAGCCGAAGATTGAATCGTTAATATATTGGTTAAGATTGAAGCAATTTGCTGAAATTGTCAACATTTTCTATTTTGATTATCTATTTTTTAATTAGTATAGCGAGAACTGTCAACTCCTTATTTAATCTCACCTAATGCCCCTTTAACAGTCGTGAATTTAAAATGAATTAAACAAAATTATCTCTTTATTGTATACTTAAACATCTTATTTTTGGCTCAAGTGAACTAGTATTGGCTATTGACAATATAAAGCCACTGGTAGATATCCGTTACATTTACTCATAGTCCAGGATCTTGAATTACACGAATGCAAAATATTCGCCTCTTTTTCACATATAACGTTAGATACAAATAGATTATCATTGCCTCGCTTCACTTCACCACCATTAATCAATCGCCCATCTCGATAACCTAATTGTCTACAAGTCGTTCGAACTTCACTTTCCTTCCATCCCCGTGAACAAATAGGCCGCCATCTTCCCTTGTGGTAGAGTTGCAATCGGCCTCTACTGCGAGAAATAAATCCATCCATATCTATAAGTCTCATCATGTGATCTGAAACACAATAAACCAATAGCTAAAGTATTTCCTGGAAACTCGCCATAAATGAATCTGAAGATTCACAATAAAAGAATTGAGGAAATTACTTTTAACCTTTCGAGCTGGCATATACACTATTATTAGACGGGGTGGGGAGAGAGAAAATATAAAGACATTTAACATGGTGGGGCAAAGGAATTACAATGCTTAAACAATTTCTCACATCTCAGGTAAACAATACTTAATAGACGACACTTTGATGACCTTAGATAGTCTTTTAGGCTGTGGATTTATAAGATTTTCGATCATAAGCACAACTCGACAAATTGGTGAATAGAATATTTAAATTAGAACATAGTTATGGTCCACTTAAAAGCTGTAGGACGCAATTGGAAACATTTTGACCCCACCCCCGCCTCCGATATGCAACCTCGGTCTGATTTAGTGACCAAACTAGAATATATCACCTTCACCCCGGGCCAAACTGTGAGCAACCACTCCCATTAACTCACAGGATTCCTGTTTAGAACTATAGTCTGCACACCATGGATTATAAATCGCAAATCTAGTCATCATAATTTTATCAAACCCCCCAAAAAAGTATCTTACCAAATAATTATTCAGCAAATATTTGCATCTCAGAAAAATTTAATTTATCAAAAATTGTATTTATATTAACTTTCAATTCCACGTTAAACTCACCATACGATGACAGTTATATTGATACTAGTAAAATATGTTTAATTTTTGCCAAGAAACAGGTTAATATAAAACTTACCACAAACGATACCAAGATCATTTGCATGTTTGCAGTGTGCGAATTCTATTCTCTCGTTAACAACAGGGCAACGTTGATTTCTAATGCAGGTTTTGTTATAGCCCCAGAAGCCACCTTTTCCAGGTCCAAAGGAACCCTTTTCCGCAGCTACTCCTCCAAAATATCCCAGACTCCTGCATATAATCGAGGCTTCGGCATTATCTAGATTATGTCCACATAATGTACCCCACTGACCCTTATGATAAACTTCAAGTCGCCCTTCGTTTTCAGCTTGGCCGTTTATAAGTGTAAATAGAGGTTCTGAAAAGATAAAAAAAAACAAAGGCGATAACTTTATAAAGAGTGAAAACATCACCATTAGCAACGAAGGTTTTCCTGCTTTCAGTAATAAGAATTAAATCAACGGCGTAATTTCGACCAAATTAATCTGGACGAAAAATCCAACCAATGCGCATATATACAGTAGCCTACCGTCCTCACTGCTGGTGTGTTCAATTGTCAACTTGAACATGAAGGGAAACAAAACAAAACGAAGTATTAGTTGCTATAACACATCATGGTAAATATTTTGAGACAAAGTCCGATACTGAAGCAAACCGAAACTAACCAAAATAAAATTATACAATTTAAAGTCTCAGCACGCCAGATGAAGGTTGCTAGTGTTTAAGACTATACACAACCAAAAGTATTTTTATTTAAAAAATATGTTGGCCCCAAATGTCGACCAATGATGACAACTATATACCATTGGCAGCACCGAAGAGATTTTTGACTAAAAGTAGGTCGTAGCGCCGCCCTCGGGGCAAAATTTCCGCCACTGGGTAATAAAGTAAGACACTAATCCCCACTGAATTTTATTGTTTACCTACGCTGCACGTTTTTGTCCACTCTCGGCACGGCTAAACCATCCTCACCCCAGCTAACTGAAGCGAAAGTTTGGAGTTTGATTTTAGATGAAACGAAATGGGGTTTAGCGCCCTACTGTTCAGCACCGACTGGGTTAATGAAGACGGGTATAGGCTATGCAGTGTGCTATGAGGGCAATTTTGCTCGTCTTGCTCTTCTTATATCGAATTCCAACTGTTAAGGGTTCTTATATGCGCACGACAATGTCTACACGAGACCTCGGTTTTCGTCCAATCCGAACGACTATACCATGTCCCTTGCCAGGCCCTCCGCCCTATACCACTGGCAAGGGGGTCACGCCGGAATTACTCGATGAGTTTTTTCGGCCAACGCAGGGATCGAACACGGGACCTTCAGGTTTGTGAGCCAGTGACTTACTGAGCCGCCGTGGCTACCAATTTTAGAAGAGGGAGTTACTTGCACTAAATGGATACCATTAAATAAAATAAAACAAACGGTATTAGTTATCCGACTTCACGAGTAATAAACAATTAGCCTCCGGGGCTAATAAGAACAGTGTGCCCAGTCTTCGAATGGAACGAAAAACAAAGGTGTGCCAGCGTATACATTGGCGTGCAGAGAGAAAAAAACCTCTTAAAAGATGGAATTTCAAAAAGAGAAGGATGAAAAGCCACAGCCCGGGCCAAATTATCCACCTATCATTGCACATAACAATAGAAAAGAAATAATCCATTTTATGCTAGTCTCAAAATGACCGAAGTATTATACTGGCGAGACTTTAAATCCCAGTCTATTCCATCTAACAAATACATGAGAAATTGAAGCAATACATTCGTTAAATGTAAATAATTAAATGTAAATATTTATAATGCAGAATATCGTGCGTTTACCTGGTTCAGCTATAAGTCTTGTTAACGCTGGCATTATCCGTTTTAACTCTTTATTCGTATCGAAAATTAAATTTAGCAAAGGGCTTGATGGTAAACTTGTCACATTATCCTCACGAAGTATATCATATTCACGAGAGGCTGTCTGGGCTCGGTGATTAAGTGCACTCTCCATTACCGTTTGGGCTTTATTATGTTCCTTCCCCCTTTTTGAACCCATCTGAATGTCAAATACATTTGAGAAATCACCATAAAGATTTTGTGTAATTTCTAAACTTTTATTTAATTGCTCACCAACTGCTCCAACCCGATGAAATGTATGTGGCATCCACCCAGTGTTTGATGCAATAATTCGAGCAATATTATGGGTCAACTTAGTGTGATTTAAAATATCTTGTAAAATTCTTGTCGGGTCGTAAGTTACTTTGTTAACATTAGCTTCCGACAATTTAATCCCAATTTCGTTTAACCGGAAAACCTCATCTTGAAGACCCACTAAAGTGTTACTTAATGAAACTGAAGTATTTAGCACTAAGCGAGCCACCACATCGAGAAATTTGGTTTCGTTTCTGGACTTGACTATGGCATCCTGCATTTCTTTAAACGATAAAGAACACATTTCGTTGTTTGTATGATTAACTTTAATGCTTGGTTTATGCTCGTTATCGTTGAAGAGTCCGGAGTCGGTGAAATTTTGACCTTGTAGCCCTGCTTTTAATTCTGTTAATTCCTGTCGAATCTGTGTTTGATCTACGGCTATGGAGTCCGTGTTAGTAATTATAGCTTCAAAGAGACTGCCTGTATGCCGAAAATAACTAACAGCTTGCACGATGTTAGCAGTCATGTTTGAGAGGGCGTTAAAAAGTTTTTCATTTTCTATTAAACTGCATTCTAATTTCCTCTCGCCATCTCGAATAAAATTTTCTTCCGGAAGAGAATCCAATTTATTAACAGTGGGATTTTTTCTATTGTCAAGCGTATGTTTATAAAGTTCTTGTTTGGCTTCCGCGATTGAAAAGATGCTGCTGATGTTGTTTATATTAGAAGCAATCTGTAGTTGGGTGTATAGTTTAAGCTCCACAAAACGTCTATCAATGTGATTTTCTAAATGAGTTATGTTAACTTGACATGGTATATCGGTCGGAGTTGGAGTAGTGATCGGTTGTTGCGTCGTTGTAACATTTGGAATTAATTTTGATATGATTTTGTTCACAATATTTTCTTCCATAATACTTAAGCTTTGTTTTATATCGTTTGTTTTATCATGTAACGAACTGTCAATCTGAGTCATAGTTTTGCTTAAATCTTCTAAATACTCCTTGTTACTTTCGGTGTAGTCTGTCATGTCTTGATCCAAGATATCTAAAGCGATCTTAACGGCACGACTGTCACTGTCGAGCTGGGTCATCTGTCCATGAACTCCGTGTATAAAACTGTTCACACTCTGTAAATTCGTGTTTATTATTTTAAATTGTCTTAAACTATAAAATTGTAGATTGTTCACCGCCTGTTCTAAGGAAGTAATCCGAGTGCTTAGAGTGTCAAATTTTTTATCCACAACTAGCAGCATGGACGACATGACGCTGGCTTCGTCAATCTTAATTGGCAACATATCTGGGGCGGTCTTTTTAACCTGACCGAACACAGCCGTTGATAACACAAAGCAACAAAGAAAGCAAACATTGAACAATTTCCACAAACTTTCCATTTTATTTTATTTTTTCTCTTCAGCTGCGCAAATTAATTACACCCAGCTTTCACAAAAGATCACATCCAAACATATTTCCTCAGTAGACCGCCTTCAGAACCATGTGGCGAATAAACATCACCTCATGTAGAGCTTATCAGCCGATATATTAACACAATAATGTCAATGGCTATGTCATTCATATATTCATAAGTGGCTGATTATATGACGTTTGCTTAAGTACATTTAGTTTATAACCAGTTTCCTGAATGATATTACAAAGGCATTCTGTATTATTAAGATAAACCGATAATTATTCTATAAAAATCTTATTTTATTCTGTAAAATATTTTTAATTAAATAAGGCACACATTGTTCTAATCAAACTTTCCACATTAATGATTCGACAGAAAAAATATTATTCTGTAGCATCTTTTACTTTTAAATAATAAACCTTTTTTCATTGTATAAATTTCAATAAAAAAACCCACACACTTTGCAGTAAATGAAACAAAATCTCCACATATGCATATATTGTATGATTTTCTATAAGATCCTGTCTTAATTCCGTATATAATTAAACCAACAAACGAATCCTCGGTCCAAATAAATCACTCACATCAAACTTTCATCCTTCGTTTCTGCACTTTCTTTTAATATAATATAATAACTTTATATAATATCGTTTTATATTCCTTTACACATTATATTAGTTATTCTCTTTAAAAATAAATATACTAATGTCACGTTCTCTTTCGTTTCTCACATTCTTCCCAGTACACTAAGAGCTGTATTAATGGCTTATTAAAGAACGAGATCAGACACGTTTGAAACACATTCATCTAAAGAAAAAGTCCAAAACCCAGTAACGATCAAAGTTGATAAGGCGTTATATAACCTAAACTATTTAGTCAGGCAAATTAAAAATTGAAATTCCGGAAATATTTATCCTTATTAAGTGGCACAATTAATTAACTCAATTCCGGGCTTTACTCTTTTAAAAAGATGACTTCTCTGAATATATCCAGCGCTGCATGATGGAATCAAGTATCAAACACAGGGCTGTTAACACAAAAGTTATACGATCTCTCAGCTATATCTTTGCCATTCAACAAGCCTGCATATCAAAGGTCGTTCTTTATTGTACTTGGTAGCATCAAACGCTCACTTGAACCCATAAACAGCAAATAAATTGGCGGAGCAAAGTGTAGAAGAATATTTATGAACGGAAGTGTTGTGTTGCGAAAGAGTCTTAAGACTCGAACTAACCGGGCATCTATTGATGTTATGTAAGAAGATAAGATTATAAGTACAGATAAAGATCGCAATTCTCACTGTGGGTGGACAATATAATTGCTAGGTAGTTGAAATTTATTTCTATTAAAAGATAATGTAGCCTTGCAAATCAGTTAAGTAAATAAATAAACCAAAAGAGTGGTGATAACTCGCTTATATTTTAATATAAACACGTTAAAGGAGTACTCAGTCAATTGTTTTAAAAGTTAAAGGAGTTTATCTCCTGTTGACTTTTATGTGGAAAAGGGGTTTAACGTACAATCTTTCTGCTATAATCGAGCTAATGAAGGCGACTCTACGCCGTACAGTGTGCTAAAAGTGAGATTTCCTCGAATCACAACCTTCGTTAACGTGCACACCAACGTGTACATGGTATCTCATTCTATGGGGTGTTGGATGGCCGAATGGTTAGCATGCACGTGCGCGCTGTATCATAATTTATGTCACTGAGTCAACTGGCATGGTTTTGATTCCCCGGTTGTACGTGACAAGGAATAGGGGTCGCCTGTCCAACCTCGTTTACTTTCTCAGGCTCCTCCGGTTTCCTCCCACTGATAAAGACCCCTACGCACAAGCGAATTATTGAAATAGAATTGAACCATGTGTTAGTCCCGAAATGATCTAGTTTGTGTCGAGTGGACGTTAAACCCCATTTTTTCTCTCTTTTTTTCATGTACTATCCGAATAACTGGTCGCCAGTCCCTCTGTCCTGTACAACTGAAAAGCGGCAGTGACGTTGAAATTGGTTAGTGAGCGGACACGTTATACACAGATCCATCCATTTATGTGGGATAAAACGCATGGGTTTGATAAGACATAGTATCTTTCTTTGAATATTATCAATTTTAAAGAAAACCGACTGAACTGTTCAATAAGTTGAGGTGCATACTCTATTTGGAATATTTATGATGACACCCTATACCCCAACAATAAAGTATTAGTTGAAAAGTTCTGACCAGTTTCTTTGAATATTGTGAGATCTTTAGGAAATTACCATGCGTTTAATGGGACATTCATTGAAATATATTATTGTGAATCCATATTGAGATGGGGGGGTTGGATGGCCGAATGGTTAGCGCGTTGTACCATAAGATCTGTCATTGAATCAACTGGCGTGGTTTCGATTCACTTGTCCAACCTCGTGGGTGTTCTCCAGGTAATCCGCTTTCCTCCCACAAGCGAATTCTTGAAATAAAAATGAACCATGTTAGTCCCGAAATGGCCTTGTTTATGTCGAGTGGATGTTGAACTCTATCTCTCTCTTCTGTCTCACTCTCTCTCTCTCTCTCTCTCTCTCCATATTGAGATCACCTGCGATATAGTTTAGGGAAAAGGTTAAATCGGTCTGCTCTCCACCGTATTTTCGGGTCAATCGGAATTCGGTCTGATATTTTGTATACTGTGTCCGTTTGGCATGACATGGTAGACTTAACAAGAAAAATAATCAAACCACCATGAAAGAAGATAACATGCATTAAAGAGGTCAAACCTTATTTTATCAGATACAAAAGAACAACAAACAGTTGATAGTCTGAAGCGGTACTAGAAAAAATGTTATAGGAGTAACATGGCTACACACTGCTCTTAATGTCCTAATTTGATAAATTGTCATTCTATATTTAACAAATTCGTTTTAATCCAACCCCTTCCTTTTTTTTACTTTTAAAAAAGAATCATGGTTTTATTCTAGTGATAGTCGAGTAATAAAATTTTTCAACAGTCTTCGGAACCGGTGATAAAGCCACAAGTTAGGCGAGTGGCACCACTCCTTGGCATGTACAAAAGCTAGGATACAAATGACTTTTTCTGCCTGTAAACCGCTTCCATTTTAAGGAATTGACTTGCGCAGATGTCAGGTAGAAATGTATGCTTAATTGGTTGTGTAGGAAATAAATAACAATAACAGAAACTCCATTGGCTTCCACTTCGGGCGAGGGTTCAATTTAAAGCTCTTGTGAATGTGTTTAAATCAATTTATTCTGACACTGCACCCAGTTATTTAAAAGAACTCTTTGATTTCTATACTCCCTGGCGATTCGTAGCATATTGAAGATTCCTAAATATAATAAACGTTCTGGTGAATATGGTCCTCCAAAAACTCTCCGAGAGTCCTCTTCCATCCCGAGCTTTAAGACTAACTTAAAAAAAAACATATTTATTTAAAAGAATGTTTGAACTGCTTTGTTGCTTAGAAACATTCATGTGTAATGAAGCGCTAGATAAATCGAAATATACGATTAATTAATCAAACTTCACAGTGAATGCCGTTGTGATTCTCAAAGACTATACAAGGTAGAACATTTCACTTATTTTAATCTTAAATCAAATTTGGTGGATATGCCTTATGGTAGTGCTTATCCAGATGAAGGCATCGATCACTTGAAAGATCTGATAACTATTTTACTTCTACTAAATTACATGATGGTTTTGATGCTTTATAATTGTTATAATTAATTATTTGACCAACCCCACAAGGAAATTAAATAGGATAGATGCCCGAGACAATGTTTACATTTCATTTCATTTCCGATGATTTTATGTGGAATACAATGATACAGAGTGAATTTCGATGATTATTCTACTGTCGATTTTAAGCACAAAAACGATTGTTGGTTGTGTATTATTGTACCAATCGCTAAATACCACTCAAGGGTTGTTAAGCTTATAGCTTTTCTTCTTTCCTGGAATTTTGAACTAGATTACACTAGATAGCAAACTACCTCACAGTGTATAAGCATGTGTACGGGGCTTGGATGTTTAGGAATAAATATTTTGCACGGAATTATTGATGAAGTGTGATCCAAAAATACTATTTTAACCCGAAAAACCTTACTTCCAGATAATGCTATTTTTCCGGGTTGCTATAAAAAAAAGTGGAACGTTAAACACAATTTCAGTTCATTTCTGTTTTATGCCATATTTTGCCCAAAAATCATATTTCCGGAAGCGCCCCTCGTATCCTCCACAGAACAAAATTTTCCTCATAGCACACACACAGTACGTTCATATTCATTACCCCGGTAGGTGCAGAATCGTAGAACGTTAAACCCTACTTCATTAATTGTCGAACGCGAATTACATTTTTTATATAGCTGTAAATAACTAAAGCAAAAAAAGAATGACTGTTACTGATAACAAGTCTCTTTTTTATTGAAATATATCTTATAAAACCCGGCATGATAATATATTACTGTGACGGTTTTTTTTTTTTGGGGGGGGGGTGTCCTCATGCATGTTTGTGCCTATTCTGGGACGACAAAGCTGTGTGTATTTAGGCCTATTTTGTGTTGCATGGCTGTGCTATGATGTGCAATTACCATATATATATATTATAGTGAGAACTTCCAGCTCTTTATCTAATCTACCATAATGTACCTTTAATGTAGTATAAATGTATATAAAGTGATTTATATTTAATTTTAAAATTCATTTTATCATAATTTGTAATCAATTATGTTTGGAAATGAAATGGAGTTTAACCTGGGCTAATGAAGACGGGAATTATGTTTGGTGAAATACATGAACAGTCGTTTACGCCTGCTTAGTCTTTAATTTTAAATGTTATGGAGGTAAAGGTCGCAAGTCATAGAAACCATTTCCCTATAAACATGCTGATAAATACCAGGACGTTTTATGGTATAGACTATTAATCTGGCATTAGCATGTCTATTCAGAGTAACATACCAATCTGACGTTTCTTTTGCTACTTACTATATATATCTGATAAACCGGGTTGACTACACAGTTATGAAACGTCTGTAATAGTTGTCTTGGAGATCAAGCAGAAGTACAGATCAAAGAAATGAAATCAGTTTTAACATCCTACTTTTCTGCACGGACGTGTGTATATACGCCATACAGTGTGCTATGATGAAAATGTTGCCCAGACAGCGCCATCTGTAAAGGGTTCTTTTACCTCGGGTTTTCGTCCTATTCGAAAGACTAGACCACTTATAAAGGTAAACCATGCCAGAACAGATCAAAGAATGTGTATGGTTGTTCACCTAATAACATGTTAATCATTTCGGCGCGTACTGTATACGTTGTATAATCTGAATAATTTGATTTTAATTTTCAACATTCAGTCTATTTAATTATAGCAATTAATCCCGTTTCATTATTGGCTTGTTTTCTCGATTTTAAATCATGATGTTAATTCCCCGCTTATGCTCAAAATCCAAAAAACATTGTAATTCCGGTGACTGATTAAAAATGTTAAAGTTTGTTTTATTCATTAGATAAATGATCGCATCTTGACTTTTATCAACATGTATTTTACATGCTGTTTTCGTTTGAATACAGATCATTTGTTCACATTGTGCCTGTTCTTGGAATTTTTTTACCCCCGAACATTAAACTATCATCCAACCTAGAAACGTCAAAACTAAAGTAAAAACTCATCTACTTACGGCCTATGATAGCACCTAGACTGGGTTGTGCTTTGAGCATGCACACTAGCATTTTCGCTGTACATATTATTATTATCATTTTTTGCCGCTGGACAGTATCTAAATTTTGGGATGAAATCCACGTTTAACTGTACTCAAACGGATTATTTAACATTCAACTAAGCAAACAAAATATTAACGGTAGGTAATCTCTCGGATTAAAAGAGCCCCCCCCCCCCACCACCCAACGATTTTGTCCAACACAAAGTTACTGATCACGTGGATTTGTTTGCAGAGCACCTTAAATCCTGCTAAATTTTCATTTCATTGTATCTTTGTAAATATTAAATGGAACTGAACCATTTTGGACTTTTCCTTTTAGAGATTTAATATTCAGAAAATTGTAGAAGATTCAATATCATTTAAAGGATGATCAGAGGCATTGGGATACTCAATTGAAAGAGCTGGAATTGACTTCTCTTAATCCCCCTAAAAAGTGACAATCAAGTAAAAAGTAAAAAGGGGTT